GTACCTTTCGCTCCTTTTTTGGCATTCCAGGGGCCGCTCAGCCAAAACGAAGCCCACTTTTATGGTTCATGGGCAAGGGCCTACAAGGCCGTTTCGAAAAAGCGGGGCACACTCTGAACGACCTTCCTGGTAAGATTTGTGAAAATTCAATACTGCTCAAGAAAGTGACCACGGTGGAGGGGATGGTTGATGCCTTCTTTTAAGGTCCTGTTGTAGCAAAGGTGACTTTGCCCACCTGGAAACATAAGGAAAAGCACAAAAAGGAAGTGAAGAAAAAGGAAGTGACGTTTAAACCATGAGGATATCGGGGGCAGAAGTACCTTGTTCCAAAGGTTCCTTCCAGTTGATTCAACTTTCAGTCTTGGCAATTTCGGCGAATATAAAGAGCCAAACGTGCATCCTGAACGTTCGTCCAATAGTAATAAGCGCTTTAGTGCTTTGCTGGCGCTTTGAGAAACTTTTGAAGAGCTCTGACTGGCGATTGAGGTTATTCACAATGAGGGACTGTGTCCCACTCACAGATTTACAGAACGGAGGAAGCAAAAAAAACCTCCCTCGTGACGCGCATAAGGTGACAAGGTTCAAGGGAGACCCAAAGTTAAGTACTCCAGAGATGTTTCTCTATAAGCAGCAAGACGGGATCAGGATGGCCTGCAACTGCATCAGACTCAAGCAGTTCTTTATTTCAGGGTTTGGTGACTGGTGCACTGTCCTCTGCTACCACAGAAAGCTGTAATGTACTAATAGAAGGCACCAGCCGTCCACCTGTTTAGGCAACATAGCTATTTTCGCGACTTGTTTCTTTTTTTTGTAAATTGAGAATCACGTTGTAAAAGAACGAACCGATGCAGAGGGTTGAGGGTGTTGCGCTTAGTTCGCCTTCGAGCCAAGTCGGCATCTCTATGCAGCGCTTCGATCAACTCCCGAGCACTGACTGGATTCTTTTTATGCAGAGCTGTGATCTGAAAGCAGGCGTAACTAGGAATGCAAAGTGTTTTCATGAAATTAAGACCAACTTTTTCATTTGAAGCTGGTTACTCTTCTACAATAATTCGTCGAGCATGCATACATGACCTTTCAAAAAGGAACTGCTCAAAGTTTTAGTTTGGAGAAAACCTTTGAAACCCTATACGATTTAACGAGAGGTATTGGTACTACTATATATAATCCACTAAGTATGTTTGCGTGCGTGCGTGCGTCCGTGCGTCATGGCACACCTAGCAGCAAGGGTAGGAGGTCATTTCCAAAGTATGATATAGTGTATGCGACAGGAACATTACTTGTGAGTGACACGAAGCGACAACAGACAGTACTTGATAAAGGGCGTTAGTAGTGGACGATCACTAAACTCATAGCTCGTATTAAAACAACAATAGGAAGTTGGTTCTAGAAAACGATATAGGAGAAACGATAGATATAGAGGAAACATTAATGATGGATGACAGAAAGGTATAAGAACCGGTAAGGTTGATGAAGGGTACTGCGAAATTCATACCGCACGCCACGGTAATAGTGGGAACATGGTTCCAACAAGTGGTAAAGGTTGTGGGAGTGGAATTCTGAACAGGGTTAGAGGAAGTGATTCGGTGACCGATAAAGGCTGATAAGATTCAGCCATAGTTTTGTTTTGTTATACTGCTTGCAACTGAACTGCGCTTACTATACCACAAGCGTTAGAGGGCAGACACTCAGTTTGTTAATAAGTTTCATTCCTTTCTGACAACTATAGAATCAGAACCTATGCGACCGCTAAGATCTCCATTTTCGATAAAAATATTCAGAATCGATGGTTCCCTGAGCTTCATTATGTTTAATCTTGATGCAGTAAGTAGAATGGCGAAGCTCTTCTCTTCATTGAATCTTTATTATATGACAAGCTCTCCTCATTGAATCTTTATTATATGACAACATTTCGGGCATAAGCCCTTCTTCAGGTCACTCGATCTTAAATCAAACAGCATATACCCTTACAACGTTACTTAGCAGTAACCCACACTATGTAGAAGAAGGAAGGAGCACAAACTCCGTCAGGCCTCACTACGTAGCAGTATTGGCAGAAATGAAAGTGGAAGGAATTGGGATCTTTTATAAGGGTGCGGGACAAGGGTGATCTCGAATAAGTCACGTATGTCTCCATTCTGCACGTCTTATATTGATATCAAACTCATTGCCACTCTCATCTCTTCTTTACTGTTGATTGGTGGTTGTTGCTGCTTTATTTCCAGTGCCTCCCTGATCTTTCTTTCAACTGGATCTACCACATTTCTGTGTAGGATGGAGATGCGAAGTTCCGGCAGTTTTGCTTGAGCGTGCCTTAGTGTGCGGTGTCTCGATAATGGGTTCTCCGGGTAGCTCTGTGGGCTCCGCAAAGCTCTTAGGTGTTCCTCCATTCTCTTGTGAAGTGGCCTCGATGTTTCTCCAATGTAAAACTCGTGACATGAAAGGCACACTATTTTGTACACCGCACACTTTTCTTGACACACCTTATGTTCTCCACAAATCACACAGTTAGCTCTTTCACATCGACTCTCAATAATCATTTATATATATTTATTACATGAGATGGACTCATGTGTGGACAGAAAAAAAACTAGATTGAGCTAAAAAAACAACAACCCCGAGTCAACATCAACACAAAAAAAACACTGAAAAAAAACATCAAAAGGACGAGATTAAAGAGAAAAAGACACAACATAAGATGAGTGAAGGATTCAGTCTCTACGGAACCATACGATCGATCAATCTTGAGAAAGCTTTGACGCTAGCAGGAAATGATTTATGTCTATTAAGCTTAAAGTAGTCCGTAGCAGCCCTTTATAGTGAAGAAGCGCGACCGTATATTGTGCTTGGCAAGAGGCACCACTGGCTTGAGAGGGCCTCCCCTGGTGACTGATGGACGCAGAATACGAAAATGATCAGGACTGAGACCACACTTGCCATGAAGGATCTTATGGAAAAGGATGAGGTCGAATTTTCTCCTCCTACAGGCCAGGGATTGTAACTTCAGATTTCTGTTCCTTTCAATGCTAGAAGGAATACCATCATAGAGAAAACCCAAAGCTCTCACCATAACTTTCCGTGTGAAAGAGTTCTGAACTCTTTCTAGTGTTTTAATCATTTTCACTTTATAGGGGTTGAATACAGGCGTGCCGTACTCCAGAATTGGCCTAACATACGTCTTGAAAGCACGCAACAGCACAGCAGTATTCTTTGTTGTGAGAACCCTGAAGAGTTTGTAGACCACTGTAGTGGCTTTGCGAGCAATGCTTTCACAGTGCGAATCAAAGCTGAGATCCTTAGTTACGATGAAGCCTAAGTCCCGTTGTTGGTCTACTTTCCTAATAGGAGTACTCTCAACAAAATAAGGGAACTCTTTGTTCTTTGGGCCGAGATGTAGCACTGTAGTTTTCTCACTGGACACATATGGACGCGATGATGTTAAAAGTCGTCGTAAATTAGGACCAGGTTTACGGGGAGCCTTGATCGTTTTACGACGCGATTGGCATCAACAGCGAACGAGTCAGTAATAAAAGGTAACACGAGTGGAGTGCCATAAGGTGATCGGTAAGGCCTTCAGCATCGAAGCTGCCCTTTTCTATATCCGTTTTGCCGCAAGGTGTTGTTCACTTCTGTCTCTATTTGATTCGTGGAGGTCAGCTCATGTGATGTTGAAACATGTGGCCGACTACGTTCACTTTCATATAAAGAGGATGGCAGCTTCTCGCGTGAATGAGGATGATCCGAGATGTCAACTTCCTATACCACATGGTGTTGATCTGACCTTCCGAAATCTTGACTTTGGTATTCAGAAATGGGAGGAAACCATCCGGGGAGGGCTTTCGGCTGTCAATTTTATTGACTGACACATTCCATTCAGCTTTCCAAATGTTTATCGCAGAGCAGTCTGATTTTCCGACAATGAAAATTTCGTCGATTTATCGAGTATAGAACTCTAAACGCCAAGGATGCTCCCAATCGGCTCGCATAGCGAGTCCTCTTGTCTGCTTATAGATACTTCTGAAGCGAAATATGTTCACCTTAACCACGTTTCGAAGGAGCTCTTCAATGTCGTCGACACCAAGACCAAATAGTTGGTGGTGAAGGCGTAAAAGACGCATACAGGCCTTTGTATGTCAACATTTGTGTAAAGTGCAACAACGTCAAAACTTTCGTATTCCAGTCGTGGTTTATCGCAGAAGTTGCACTGCCGTAATTGCTCCAGGAATTGTTTCACGTTCTTGAGGTGATGGTGAACATATGAAAGCAGTGGACAGAGGATGCGCTGCAGAAACCAGCTTATTCTGTCCGTTGGACCGCCACAGGATGCCACGATTGGCCTTGTTTTGATGGAAGTGAGGTCCACCACATCGCCATTCTCACTTCTAACCAACTTATGCGTTTTCACAAGTTGGTAATAAGTAGGCACGCTTGCGTACTTCGGCAGCAATTGATCCAGAGTGCACTTCTCTAGCTTCGGACCGAGGGTTCTTCTTATCACCTCCTCAAGGTTCTGACACTTCTCGTTTGTACTGTTCTATGGAAGCCACCTCATAAGTAGTGGAATCCGACAATACACCTTCACTCAGAGCAATATCTCGTTCTCGCGACATCACCACAAAACCGCCGCACTTATCTCCTACTGAGAAGCGTAGCGACCTTTTCAAGTTGATGGCTTATATTTCTAAAAATATTCGCCAATGCTCAGTGATAAAAGCTCACAACAAATGAATACGTGACTATATCGTTCTTGGATCCTCTTAAAGTTGTTGTAGCATCTTTTTCACTTCTAATCTTTCAGTATCCACCATAAGGGAAGTAAAAGAGAAGGTTGACTTCTTTTGATAAACCAGTAATGCGACATCTTTTGAGGATCACTACGACGAAGTAAACGAACTGTTTAAATGGAACACTGGAGACTTTCTCCTCTGAATTCTGCGAAATATTTGTCCTTGCTTTCATCATAAAATTGAGCCCTAGTGAAGCGGCACTAGCATTCTCCTTCAATGTCGGTCATCTTCGACAAAGCTGCTAGATTGAAAAGACATATAACTCACATGCAGCTCATCCCAAGGTAGAGCTAAATATTTGAGGGGTGGTTTGAAAGACTTGATTTCGTGGGTTCCGATGGCAGCTATTTCACGGTTGGCACACATCGACGACGCGTGAAGTTTTGTCTATGAAAAAAAATAACATAGAGTTACATCCAAAATGCAGCAATGTCGAGGAAACCACTAGACACACCTGTATGTTGATGAACTTCTTGAAGTTTTCTCCAGTGAGGTCAAGATTACTCAAAACGCAGCATACTAGAAACGGTCGTACTGGTGTTACTGATTCAAATCGTTTCACGAACATCTGAAATAACGAAGCTTTGAGATGCTGGGACAGAGAAGAAAGCAAGGAAGGGATTCAGGAAGATTCCAACAGCTGTAAAGCGAAACTGATTCTACTTCCCGAAAAGTCCCCTCTTTTCCTTCTTTCATTGCTACAGCCCACTAGACTGCCCACAACACAGGGGATCGCATACCGTACATCACCTCCAATGACAGTCCTTTCCATGTGTGAGACGAATGGGGCCGCACTGCAGTTGCGCGTCACTGTCTTCGCACAAAAGTACAAGGTAAGAGGGCTGGAGGGTAGAAGTACCCTAGTGCCGCCTCCACATTGCCGCCCGCGCTATCTCCTCATGGTGCAGAACAGTTATGAAAACTGAGAGAGGTAGACAAGTCATGTTTGGCTATGGTTAGGCGTGTGGCTGGTCATGCAGCAGGGGCGGAGTATAGAGATGGCACGCGGGTATCACTACTTCCAGCCCCGTTCTCGTGAACGTGTGACCAGGGAATGTGGCACGCTTTTGCAGCTGCGGACCCCCTTTCCTCGCACGTGGCAAGGACCGGTAGACGGAAGTGAATGTACAGTATGCCTTTAAATTTCTATATAGGTGCTCGTTTCCTGGAAAATCACACAGGGAAAGTTTGTCATAAGACAAATGATGCTAAGGTTGATTCAATGCAACGTAAGTGAACGTATATGTGTACCTCTGTTTTAGCTAATACAACTGATAGCACACCGGCTGGCACACAGGTGAACTCCATATCCCGGAAGTGGGCAAGGCATGGCTGCGTTGTTCAACTGGACATAGCGTAGGACGTGCGTTACTTGGGAAGCTCCTGGTCGAGACAGCTGTCATTCCGCCCTATGCTGGCAAGACACCGACATAACAGCTGTCCAAAAAAAAGCTCTGAAGGGCAGCACGTGGCATGTTGCAATGGACGTACCACGCCACGCCTCTAACCATTTGGCGGACATGAGTTCGTCGTTGAGGCCGATCACGGATTCAAATGGCCATTCTTTTCTGAATGTGTGAAATTAAGGGCGCTAATCTGCGTGGTCGACCGGCCACTGGCATCAGTTAATTTATTCGCCTACCGCGCTTCAATCATATGTTGACGTTTCTGAGCAACCTTGTGGTGGTCTCAGAGCAATAGTGGAAGGAGAGTGCATAACATACTCGGGAAAACTCGAGAAATGTATTATGCAACCCCTCTTACATGCTAGGAGGAAATACTATGTTCGTGCCAAGTCGCCGCTACGATTTTGTCCCGCCGGCGATGTGAAGCGGGTATCCTGCTACGAAACCCCGCCCTCATCACATCACTGTACAGAGGTGATAGCTGTACGACGATTGGGCGTGTCAGGCTGGATGAGTTGACGGCGCTGCTACAATCGTCTCCACATTGTTGAAGCGCGAGCAAATGACAAGACTGTATAATATCGTTGTGACCAGACGTTTTTCTCCACTTGTTGTCGCATAGTGCCTCAGCCACTGGCAGAGAGCGGGTTTGGCGCTGTGGCACTCTGATACTGTCTGACATGGGCATCCTCTTATCCACGAAACATGAGACATTTTTGTACCACACATTCCTTTTTCGTAACCTACAACATACCTATTCATTTAGATGGCTTAAGAGTGATATATTCGGAAATCAGGGTGTTCTTACGAAATCTGCCCACATGTGGGCTATATGTGCAAGATCCGAAATACATGTTCAGTTTTCTAGATCAAGAAAAAAACCAATAATAACTCGAGTTTCTTCTGTGAACCTTTAAAAGGTGAACTTTCATCAAAACGTTTAGCATATCTGCTGATCAGACTTTCCTATTATAAACGGATAAGCGCAAATTTCATGCAAGTGAAGAGTTCTGAAGTCTGCCTCTCACCATGCTACTCTTTCATTTGATGGCTACATCGCCTCTCACAATCAGACAGGCGTTCAGAGTTCGCGATAACGCGCGGTAACGCGTTTTAACGGACGTCGACACGCAATGATGCGCTCTAAATTTGTGACAGGCTCCAAACCTATAGACGCGAACGTAGCCGCAGACGGGAATCGACGCAGTGGCCACTGTCGATCGATACCAGATTGCTTGTTCAGAACGCGTACCCCCCCCCTCCCCTATTCCCCAAACTCTCAATAAAAAAAACCGCGCCGAGTGATTTTCGTCTGCAGCAGCGCTCGCGTCTATAGGTTGGAGCGCTATTGTAACTGAAGCGCGTCACGCCGAAGTTTGAACCCTGCTTCAGCCTAAAAGGGAATGAATTTCGAACAGAAGTGTAGATTACAGTGCACCCATTGACACCCCCATATTGCTTAAAAGTCGCAAGACTTACATTTGGAGCACCTATCCTGACAAGCAAAGCTCCATCTTCTGCTGATTGCTTTGCAGCTGTTGCATCCGCAGAATCGGTCTCTGCTGAGGGCTTCTTAGAAACTTTAGGCGCATTCTTCGCAATATACGAAATCACAGCGGAAACCTAATTGAGAATTAACAGTAAACTCATTTCTCAGTAGATAAGGTATAGGTTACTGTGAGCACAAATACCTTCACCGCACCTTAGCCCTTTTGTCATTGGCGAGTTTCTTGAAGCGTCCATCCTTGAACGGATTCAGTGACAAATCCAAAACTTTGATCTTTTCCATCTGACCAATTGCCCACGGTAGGGACGTGATTTCATTCTCGGAGAGATTCAAGGTCTTCATGTGTTCGATCACATTGAGTTCTGGAGTCACCTAGTATGAACTTTAGCTGATTTTGATTAAGTAAACATATATATATGTTATTAGTTGATATATTAAATATCTTCTCACCTCGGTTATTTTATTATGAGCAAGATTCAACGTGTGCAAGTGGACGAGTTTTCCACTTGTCAACGTAGGCGGTACGTACGTCAACTTGTTATGAGAAAGATCAAGAACATGGAGGGATTCAATGGCAGAGAAGTCGAATAATCCGTCATCCGTTATCTGAAATCGTTTAAGCTGATGTGAGGTAATGAAAGGATAGAAAAACCCTTTTAAATGATTACAGTAATGTACTGATAGGAATGCGGCATCCAGTATTGACCGAAGAAAGGAAAGAGGCGTCCTATAGCGCCAGAGACCAGTGAATACAATTCCCTTTCGGAATAGAATTAGACCGCGTTCATGCTTTGCGGCAGCGTCCACCAGCGACCACCAGCGTTTCCAGCGTCCGTCAGCGTCACCGACTAGGGAGGTGTAGTGATTGATCCAGCAAGTGGCAACGTCCATCAGCGTCCAGGAGTGAAGAGTATGGGGAAGTAGGAGGGTAGCAGACTGCTGGTAGAGTATGGGGAAGTAGGAGGAGAAGACAGCTGGATTTGGTATCGCGAAATTGCGGCGTGTCAACCACACCATACTAATAGAACGCGCGGCACATCAAACGTATAATTCTGTGCTTTAGTGGTTGTACGGTGCGGTTGCACACGACGCAATTGCACGACTCCTAATCCAGCTGTCTGCTCCTTCTACATTCCCATACGCTACCGTCAGTCTGCTACTCTCCTATTTTTCCCATAT